CAGGAATGCGAGGACAAGACGGGAATACACTGGGAGAAGTGATGGGAGAGGAGGCAGTTGGGTAGGTTGAGGCAAGGTGGTGGAGGCTTTGAATGCCAGATTCTTGTCTGTGTGAGGGGCTTACCAATATCTGAGGTGGCCTGTGCTCTTGCTAACCCCCCTCTCATTTCTCAGCCCCCACCCTTCCTGCCAAGGAAGGGTGCTAAGAGTCCTATTTACCTCTCCCACACCTTCAGCCTCACACCCGCACTGGCCCCAGCTGCCAGCCCAATTACTTATTGATCTCCTGTTAAGATGTTTGCTTTTCTGGTGGGTCACTGGAGCATGTGTGACTATGGAGAATGGCCTGGTGGAGGTGGGGTGGGGGAGGATGAACCACAGAAGAGCTTGGAGAGAGGTTGAGAGGGGCTGAGGGGTGGGGGCTAGACAAAACTGTTGAGGATAACAAAACCTTGCAATTCCATAACATGCCAATGTCAGCCAGAGCCCTTTCTGGTCAATCAGTCATTTAGTCAATCAACAACCAGAGAGCACTTGTCAGTCCTGGGCAATAGCTGGAGCACTGGAAAGTGTGTGGCTCTGACAGACCAGAGCTCTGGTCTAAAGTCCACCCACTTTTGGGGGTGGGTGTCCTTGGGCAGCCACAAGCACCCCCTAACACCAGTTGCCTTAAGGGTTGAAGTGTAGATGACAAAGACTTGTGATCTTAAAAGCGGAGGCTGTGTGCAGGTGTGGGGAGGGTCTAGAAGGGGCGTGAGCTGGGGCAGAGAGGTGGGCTGTCTTAGTTAAGGCTTCCCTTTCCTGCAGTTAGCCCTCCCCCTTGGAGCCATGATGTGGTGTGTGTGGATAGGCAACAAAGCCTGAAGGATGCCAGGCAGGAGTGGGATGGATCTTCACCCCATCAGCAGTGGGAGAGCTAATGCTTGGCCTCCAGAGGCCATTTGGTCTACTTCCTGGAGTTTGAAGTCCAGACTAGCCCTCCCAGCCCCCTTCTTACCCTGCTGGGCCAGTTTTTCATGGAGTAGAACAGGGGAGGAAAGGAGATGGAGGGACTGTTTGGGTACAAGTGTGAGCAAGTGGCCTCTGACCATGATCTGGGAGAGAATATGGGAGGCTAGCTCTGCACACTCCTTGCTCACTTCACCTGCAGCCTGTGCTCAAGCCGAGTCCCCTTTCTGACACTCTCACCCTTGTCACTGCTATTCAACCCAAGTCCTGCATGTTCCTCAGGGCTCAGCTGCAACAAGCCTCACATTTTCAGTGCTGCAGTGTGAACTGGCCCCTCCAGGCTACCTGTGCCATCCTGGGCTTTGGGGGTCTGGCTGCCTCTCTCAGACTGGCAGTTGCACAGAACCTAGCACTAGGATGAGAGTGATTGGACCCCTGAGAGAGAGAGAACAATGAACACTGGGAAGGTCTTTGGAGGGGAGCATACTTCTTACTGGGGAACAGAAAAGGCTTCTCAGAGCAGTGGACATGAAATTAGGCCCAGAAAATGGGGTTTCAACAGGCAAGGGCTTGGCGTTCCAGGAAGACAGAACTGCAATGGCCCTGGGCCCTGCACTCAGGAGCCCCAGTGGGTCACTGTGAGAGGACCCAAGGACAGGGAGAGTTGAAGAGATTCTATGGGGAGGCATCAGGCCTGGGTCCTGGCTTTCTGGATGGGAGTGCCCTCCACTGATCTAAAAACCCCGTCAGGGAGCAGATTCGTGAACACTGACAGGTGCCACTGATTTTGCTGATTGCCCAGGAATGGCTGTGAGCTCAGCTGCAATACTATGAGGAGGAGACCTTGGTGTCTACACCTGAGATAGCTTAGGCTAAAGGTTGTGAGGTGGGCCCCCAAGCAGCCTCAGAAGCCCTTGCCTATAGGTCTACAGGCTGCGAACCAGACATGCTCCTCTGCAGGCTGTTCCTGGTACCCTCAGCCTTGAGCCCCTTTGATGCCTCTGTGAGCCCCAAGGACAACTCAGTGGGTCTGGCCTTATCCCTGATGGGCATTGGGGGAAGCTGAGGCTCAGGGTGCAGGGATGGGGGTTGGGGCAGGATGCATGCCTGGAGTTAGTTGCACTGCCTGTGAAACATAAAACTTAGAGGTAGATGCAGCCTTCAGGGCCAATACTAACCTCCTCTGTGGTGGCCCCACCCCTTCTATGAACCCCATCAATCCCAGAGATGCTGGAAAGGTCCTTCAGCAGTGCTCTGGGCAGGACAAGGAGCAAAGAGGAAGCAGGCTAGGGTGGCAGGAGGCCCCTCACCAGGCATCTGGACCTCACTGTGGGGTCCCAGGCAGGTGTCATATGCCACTCTGGACCCCAGCCTCTCTGTCAGAGACATCTGTTGGGGCAGGAGGGCATGGGAGCACAGAGGGTTTGGGTGGAGTCCAGCCAAATACTGTCCTCTAACTTCTCGCTCTGTCCTGCGCTTACTCTTGGCTGTAGGTAAGCAAGAGGATGCTGACTGGGGGCGTGAGGAGCATGCCCAGCCCTCTCCTGGCCTGCTGGCAGCCCATCCTCCTGCTGGTGCTGGGCTCGGTGCTGTCAGGCTCAGCCACGGGCTGCCCACCCCGCTGTGAGTGCTCCGCCCAGGACCGTGCCGTGCTCTGCCACCGAAAGCGCTTTGTGGCCGTGCCTGAGGGCATCCCCACCGAGACCCGCCTGCTGGACCTGGGCAAGAACCGCATCAAAACGCTCAACCAGGACGAGTTCGCCAGCTTCCCGCACCTGGAGGAGCTGGAGCTCAACGAGAATATTGTGAGCGCCGTGGAGCCTGGCGCCTTCAACAACCTCTTCAACCTCCGGACGCTGGGGCTCCGCAGCAACCGCCTGAAGCTCATCCCCCTGGGCGTCTTCACTGGCCTCAGTAACCTGACCAAACTGGACATCAGCGAGAACAAGATTGTCATCCTGCTGGACTACATGTTTCAGGACCTGTACAACCTCAAGTCACTGGAGGTTGGCGACAACGACCTCGTCTACATCTCCCACCGAGCCTTCAGCGGCCTCAACAGCCTGGAGCAGCTGACGCTGGAGAAATGCAACCTGACCTCCATCCCCACCGAGGCGCTGTCCCACCTGCATGGTCTCATTGTCCTGAGACTCCGGCACCTCAACATCAACGCTATCCGGGACTATTCCTTCAAGAGATTGTACCGGCTCAAGGTCTTAGAGATCTCCCACTGGCCCTACTTGGACACCATGACACCCAACTGCCTCTATGGCCTCAATCTGACGTCCCTGTCCATCACACATTGCAATCTGACTGCTGTACCCTACCTAGCTGTGCGGCATCTGGTCTATCTCCGCTTCCTCAACCTCTCCTACAACCCCATCAGCACCATCGAGGGCTCCATGTTGCATGAGCTGCTACGGCTGCAGGAGATCCAGCTGGTGGGGGGGCAGCTGGCTGTTGTGGAACCCTATGCTTTCCGAGGCCTCAACTACCTGCGTGTGCTCAATGTCTCTGGCAACCAGCTGACCACACTGGAGGAGTCTGCCTTTCACTCAGTGGGCAACCTGGAGACGCTCATCTTGGACTCCAACCCGCTGGCCTGTGACTGCCGTCTCCTGTGGGTATTCCGGCGCCGCTGGCGGCTCAACTTCAACCGACAGCAGCCCACATGTGCCACGCCTGAGTTCGTCCAGGGCAAGGAGTTCAAAGACTTCCCTGATGTGCTACTGCCCAACTATTTCACCTGCCGCCGTGCCCGCATCCGGGACCGCAAAGCTCAGCAGGTGTTTGTGGATGAGGGCCACACGGTTCAGTTTGTGTGCCGGGCAGATGGCGACCCACCGCCCTCCATCCTCTGGCTCTCGCCTCGCAAGCATCTTGTTTCCGCCAAAAGCAATGGGAGGCTCACGGTCTTCCCTGATGGCACACTGGAGGTGCGCTACGCCCAGGTGCAAGACAACGGCACGTACCTGTGCATCGCAGCCAATGCAGGTGGCAACGACTCCATGCCTGCCCATCTGCATGTGCGCAGCTACTCACCCGACTGGCCACATCAGCCCAACAAGACCTTCGCCTTCATCTCCAACCAGCCAGGCGAGGGAGAGGCCAACAGCACCCGCGCCACCGTGCCTTTCCCCTTTGACATCAAGACCCTTATTATCGCCACCACCATGGGCTTCATCTCCTTCCTGGGTGTTGTGCTCTTCTGCCTGGTGCTGCTGTTCCTCTGGAGCCGGGGCAAGGGCAACACAAAGCACAACATTGAGATTGAGTATGTACCACGCAAGTCGGATGCGGGCATCAGCTCCGCCGATGCGCCCCGCAAATTCAACATGAAGATGATATGAGCACAGGGTGGGGCTCCCTCCCTGGTTCTGCCCACCTCTTCCAGCCCCCGACCCCTGTTCCCGGCTGCCTCACTGGCCCTCACCACCTGCCCTCTCTCTGCCAGGACCTCAGAAGTTCGGGCCTGGGGACCCCACTGCACAGGGACACATGTGGACAGATGAGTTGGCAGCTGACGGACTGACACACAGCAGTCAATAATTCAATTTAAAAAGTTACGAACTTCCTCTGTAACTTGGGTTTCAATAATTATGGATTTTTATGAAAACTTGAAATAATAAAAAGAAAAAAAACGATTTCCTATAGCTAGTTGGAATGCAAACTTTTGACGTCCTGATTGCTCCAGGGCCCTCTTCCAGCTCAGTTTCTTGTTTTCTCCTCCTCCCCCACTCCTCCTTTCCCTTCTCTTCCCCTGTGGGGAGGGATCACTCAGGAAAACAGGAAAGGGGGTTCCAGCCCCACCCACCCGCCCACCCTGCCAGGCAGAGTGGTGGGTATGGGCTCACTCCCAGCTGGCTGTTTGCTAGGAGCAGATGGAGAGGACAGGGCTGCCAGATGGGGGCGGTGCTGTCTGCCAAGCTGCCGCCAGGGGTTGGGGCCTGGTCTGGTATGGCTGAGACTCTGGACAGGGGCTGGGGTCTTCATGGAGGACAGCACAGTCAGCAGAGAGAGCCAGGGACCAGAGGCAGGGATGAGGCCTAACCTCTGGTCCCAGCTGTGCTACTGAATTGCTGCGGGGGTCAAACAGGTCATTGACCCTCTCTAGGCCTCAGTCTCCACATCTGTACAGATGGAAGTGTTACTCCCTGCCCTGCCTACCTCACAGGGCTGTTGTGAGGAATTGATGAGATGATGTATGTGAAACACTTTGTAACCTGTAAAGCGCTGTGCACACATGTGGGTGACTGTTCTCATTATGGTCATTATTATCTATCTCAAAGTGGAGGGGTGGGTGTCCTGAAGGGATCTCCATGGGGTCAGGTTGGGGGTGTGTCAGGGGAGGGCAGGCTCAGAGACTTCCGAAAACTCCTTCCAGAACAGCAGCCTGGGCGGTGGTCAGAAGCATTGGCTGGATGAACTGGGCATTAGACCCACAGGGGCAGCCCAAAGCCTGTGAGCATCATGGCTTTGACCACCTCTGTTCTGGGGTCTCCCCAGACAGAATACTCCTGCAGTTTTGGCCTGTCCAGGGATTGAGAACACCAGCTCTTTCTAAGCCTTCTTTCCATAAGCATTTATTGAATGCCAGCTCTATGCCACTTCCCATGTAGAGGGCCCAGTCTTTGGGGCTGAGGGTGGGAAGTTCAGGGTCTGCCCTTGGGACTGCCCAAACTCAGGTCACCACCCCACCTTTGCCACATCTTCTATCATGCCATACTCTGAGCCTACTCTGGGCTGTGAAAAGTTCTGGATTGGGGTCTACCTGCACAGAGCTGACCAGGAAAGTCAGAAGTGGCCCCACCCATTCATACCAAACCTAGGCAATCCCAACTCAACCCTGGAGAGGGGTGCCCCAAATGACAGAAGTGCGAAGAGCCGAACAGGTCACCTTGTCACTTTCCCTAGATCCATGGGCCCTAGCTCAAGAAGCTGGGGCAGTAGCTCAGCCAGAGATCACGTGCTCACCCCAACCTCTGTCAGGCAAAGAGGGGCACCAGGGTCAAGGCGGCCTGGCTTCTTCACTTCAAGTGTCCCCTTTCTCCTCGGGGACTCCTTGGACTCAGCCCCACAGTGGGTCCAGGGTGACCTGCTGCCCGTTAACCTCAGGCTAGGTGATGCAGGAACCCATAGGTTGCCGACGTAGCTGAAGTTGGAGGGGGAGCAATAGGAAAGTCACCCCTCAGCAATAAGAAACTTCCAAAATGTGGCTCCTCCAATCAGGGCTCACCCTCTCCCCCAAGCAGGCTCGAACTAGGTGGCTGCATGCCTAGCACCTTCTAGACCAAGCCTATGGGGGCTAGCATGGTAAGCAGTCTTCATGGCATTGGCTCAGTCACTCATTCATTCATTCATTCATTCACTCAATCAATCTACAGATGTACTCAAGAGCAGGCTCTGCTCCTGGCTCCTGACTCCTGGCTAAGCAGTTTGTAGCCAGCCTTTCTCACCTTCATCCCCCAGCCAGCATCCCTGGACTGTCCCTGGTTCTGGGGGAGCCTCAAGCCCTTTGAACAGTGGTTTTAGCCCCAGGAAGAAACAGGATCTTCCCCACAATATCCTGGAATGTTGGCGTGGAAAAGCATGATGGTCCTTGGGGGAACAGATGAGATATGATTATAAGTGTCTGAGGTTCTAGGTCAGGTCTGAGTGAGTTACTGTTCTAACACTTACTAGCTGTTTGGAATTATTACTTAACCTCTCGGAGCCTTGATCTTCCCATCTATAACAGAAAGATGGTCTTACTACTTTTGGTCGTGAGGTTAAATGAGGGAGTACATTTGTTGATTGGTGGAATGCCTGGCACTCAGGAAGCCCTCTACCAATGGTGATGATGATTGCTATCTGGCGCAGATGCAGAGACTGAGAACCAGAGAGGCTGGTAGCTTATCCACAGTCAAACAGCTACTAAGTGACAGGACCAAGGTGTGGGAGTTCCAAACTCCCAGAGCCACAGACTTAAAAGCCTATCTATGACTTCTAAGAGCCAGGCTTGGAGAACCCAACCTGGTGGGAGACCACTTTGGGGAGGACTCCTTGGACATAGGGTGATCTGTATGCAGAAGAAGCCAGTGGTATGTGAGGCTTCAAGAGCCTGACAGGCTTTCCAATCTCCAGAGAGAGACCAGAGCACAATCTCTCCATCACCCAGCCCTGGACACCCTCATCAACACTGTCCTCCCACAGGAGGCCATCATGTTCCTTAATCCTCTGGGATGCCTAGGTCCCTGGGGCTTCACAGGGTTCAGGTAAGAGCAGGGGATTTATGGGACCAATTTATTCCTGCCTACTGGGAGGGAACTGGACCCCTGAGGATACTCTGGGGCACAAGAATTGTGAGGCTATTTGCAGATGGGAGAGAGTCAGTCTAAGGGGACATGAGTACCCAGGGCCAGGAGGCTGGGTTAGCCCAAGCAAAGGAGCCAGGGTACTGGACAGAGCTCAGGCTGGGAGCTAGGTGGCCTGGGTTTCAGTACTGTTCTTTCCTAGCTGTGGGACCGTCATCTGTAGAAGAGGGTACTGAACTTAAATGCTAAGTACCAGATATAAGGGGGAATAGCCTGAAAAGTCAAGAGGCTATTTTCTCCATGGCCTGACAGCCTCTGAGGGAGAAAGGGGAAGAGCAGATACCATCCCCACCCCTGCCCCCTGCCTTGGCACACACACAGCTGGGAGTCTGAACCTAAAAGTGGTCTAGGGGCAGGGGCAAAACCTTCCTGGGTCACTCACATTCCACACAGTCCAGTGGCCCCAGTCTGCCTCAAACCCAATGGGGTTGTGGAGTCCGGATGTCTTGCTACCTTAACCTCTACAGGGAGCTAGTTCTGCTCACTTTTCAGTCTGGGTCCAAGCTACTAGAGAAAAGGCAAGATACTGAATCTTGAGAGTTTAGCCTGCTTTCCAGGAGACCAAGACCAGAGGCAGCCTCCAGTCCTATTCTTCCATGAGACAGCATGCCTTAAAGAGAGGGTGATAAGACTTGGATCCTACCCTGGACATGCAAGTGGAGCTGATCAAAAATGGCACTAAGGGTGAGTATTAGAGGGAGCAGCAAGCACCAGGATCCTCTCTAGTTTACTCCCTCGGAAGTGAGAATCTGAGGCTCAGAGAGAGGAAGTAATCTGCCTAGAGCTGCACAGCAGATTGGTGGATAGGGCCTGGACTTTGGAGTCAGGAAGACCTTGATTTAAATCTTACCTTAGGCGTGACATCTGTTTGGTGTGCAGTAATGCCCACAGTTATTAGCATGCCGTCATTATGGACAAACAGGGGAGTGGTGTTTGACCTCAGGAATTGGCAGGGTAAGGGACTATATGGAGAAGCCAAAGGACACAATGGGGATTCCAAAGACCTGAAACTCCAGTGGGGTTGGGGTAGACACCAAACCAGGTCATGCTCTCTGTTTTTCCACTGAAGGCCTCAGGGCTGTGGAGAGCATGGGAGCTGACTGAGCCATCACTCCTGTTTGCCCAGGATAGAGAGACATCCATGCCCTACTAAGTGACAGGACCAGGGTGTGGGAGTTCTAAACTCCCAGAGCCACAGACTTAAAAGCCTATCTAGGGCTTCTCAGAGCCAGGCTTGGAGCCCTGGAGGACAGGCCACAACCTGTGTGTTTGGGGAGATGGAGGTCTCAGGGAGCAAGGGAGAAAGGGTGAGGGAAGTGCAGACCACTGGCTGTTGTTAGGAGTCCTGGGGACCTTGAGTCTTTGGGGGTCTGAAGTCAGGGTTCATGAGGTACAAAGAGCAGGGCAGCACAGACCAGCTGAAATTAAGTCACTTTTTGGGGCTCCCACAGAACCCGGTTCCATGGTCTATTGCCTTTCTTGCTTCTCTCCCCAATTTAGTGTTCTCTGATAACATGACAGCCTTCACACCCAGCTTCCATTCCAAAAGCCCAGCTCCAGCCTCTTTCACAGTTGGGCATGCTAGAATCTCTGATCTCTTCATTCCTATTCTCTAGAGAAAAAACATCTGATTGGCCACCTGCCAGCCAATGACTATTGGCTGCCTCAGAGTCAGGTGCTCACCCTCTTGTCCAATTAGCTGAGGCCAAGGAGCTTGATCTTATCCAAGCCAAGTTTGAGTGATGATGGGGCAGAAAATGCTAAGGGACTGTATCAGTTATCTATTGCTGCATGACAACTACCCCAAATTTTAGTGGTTTAAAGCAACAAGAACCATTTATTCCCAATTTTAAAACCTGAGCAGGGCTCATCTCTGCTTTGTATGGTGTTGACTAGGGAGACTTGACTGGAGCTAAAGATCTAAAGTGGCTTTTGGCCACATCTGTCACCTCAGCTGGGGAGGCTGGAAGGGCTGGAGGCCAACTGGCTTCTCTATGTCCACATGGTCTCTCCAGCAGGCTAGTTGGACTTTATGGTGGCTCAGCACTCCAAGGTAGAGAAACGGAAGCTGCCAGGTTTTGTGAGGCCTAGGCCAGGAAGTCCCACAGCATCACTTTCATTGCCTTCTATGTGTCAAGGCAAGTCACAGGCCCTCCTAGATTCAAGAGGAGAGGGGACAGATCCTAGCTCCTGGTGGGAGGAGCTGCAAAGTCACACAGGCAAAAGGGCATGCAGGATGTGAGAGCTGTTGCAGCCACCCTCCACAGGGACCCATGTGGTGCCCGTTCCTT